ATTTAGTGGACCTATCAATTTTGACTTCATTTTTCCTTAGGAAGAACATCAAGTGGTCACTCCAGTAGCAGGGCACTAGGAATATACCTCTCTACCTCCCACCATCCTCAGCATAGAGCTCTACCCCAGTAATCAATACAATGCCAATACCAGTACTTTTCAGGTGATAAACTGAGAACTAGAGCTAAAACCCTGATTAAACATGATTTAACTGACTACTTCATTTTACCAACCTGCTTAATTTTTCTCATGCAGATGATCCTTTTCCCAGCCTTAAGAGATCATATGCATTATATATATATATAATATGACATATACAACATGTTATATATATGTAATATGGCATATTATATATAATATTACATGTATAATATTTCTAACATATATAAAAGCACAAGTCAAAATCTGAAAAAGCAATGAACTAAACCAAAACGGTGTATGTGAAAAAGAAAAAGGTAGGGCAAGGATGGGGGGAAGCAAATGCCTTTAAATAAGCATGATTGTAAATGTCCTGGTCAAGATGGCAGAGTAGGTAAATGGGGTACTCACATCCTCCCACAACTACATCAAAATTATAACTGAACTACAGAACAACCATCATTGAGAACCACCCAAAGTCTAGCTGAACAGAAGTCTTATAACTAAGGATATACAGAAGCCACATGGGGATAGGCAGGCGGGGGGGTGAGGGGGGGAGAGGCTGAAACTTGGAAGTAGCTGGCCCCACACCCATGTGTGGCCATTTAAAACCAGGAGGAATATCTCAGTTATAGAGGTCCCCCTGAGGAGTGTGGAGTCCCAGCCCTCCACCAGACTCCCCAGAACAGGGAAGGAGGAGGAAGAGAAGAGGGGGAAGGGGGAAAGAAATGGAGAGGAGAAAGAGTGACACTGAGCTTGTGGCGGGCAGCACTAGGAGCCTGAACAAAGCCTGCCCCACCCGTGGTTCCTCCATGTCACACACCACAGCCTCCTGCACACTGTCACCACCACATGCTTCCACGCCAGCGTGGGGCCGTCTGAAACACCGCAGCCACCAACCAAAAAATGCTCCAATCAAAAGGCATAGAGTGGCTGAATGGATAAGAACACAAGATCCACACATACGCTAGCATGTCTACAAGAAACTCACTTCAGACAGAAAGACACAGAGACTGGAAGTAAAGGGATGGAAAAAAATATTTCATGAAAAGGGAGAGAAAAAAAAAGCATGGGTAGCAATACTTATACCAGACAAAATAGACTTTAAAACAAAGGCTAAAACAAGAGACAAAGAAGGACCCAGCAATTCCCTTCTGGGTATTTATCTGGATAAACCCAAAAACTAATTCAAAAGGACATATGCATCCTTATGTGCATTACACCATTATTTACAATAGCCAAGATATGGAAGCAACCTAAGTAGCCAAAAATAAATGCATAGATAAAGAAGTGGCACATATTTACAATGGAATATTCCGAGGCTACGAGAAAGAATGAAATCTTGCCATTTGTGACAACATGGGTGGATCTAGAGGGTATTGTGCTGAACTTTTCACACCTGATCTCTCTAATCCTTACAACCACCTCAGGGGCAGGTGGTAACATGTTTAGTTTACAGACAGGAAACTGGAGCCCAATATAACAAATTATAGAACTTCCAGTCAAGATGGCAACATAGGTAAATGTGATGCATACTCACATCCTCCCACAACTACATCAAAATTATAACTGAACTACAGAACAACCATCATTGAGAACCACCCACTGGATAAATGGAAGTCCTACAACTAGGGAATCAGATAAGAAGCCACATGGAGACTGGCGGGGGGGGGGGGGAAACCAAAGTGCAGG